CTAAACGCTCAGCGACGCTGGTCCGTGACCGGTACTCCCATCCAGAACCGCCTTGAAGACCTTCTCTCCGTTACCAAGTTTCTTGGATTGGTCCCCTACGATGATCGAGCCCGATTTGGCATGCATATTCTTAGTCGGTTCAAGACAGGTGACGCGACAGTTCTCGCAAGCTTGCGTGTGCTCGTTGACTCCTTTACTCTACGTCGAGTCAAAGATAAGATTGACATTCCTCCTCGACATGACAAGATTATCACGCTGGAGTTCTCTGAAAAGGAGAAGCAGCTGCATGAATTCTTCCGGAAGGAGTCTAATGTCATGATGAGGGTGATTGCGGGAGAGGACAAGACGAAGATGAAAGGACGAATGTACCATCATATTCTCAAAGCAATGATGATTCTGCGACAGATCAGTGCACACGGCAAAGAGCTTCTCGATAGCGATGATCGTCAGCGGATCAAAGGAATTAGCGTGCAGGACGCAATTGATCTGGAAGAAGGAACGGGCGAATCTGCCGGTGTGATTGACAGGAAGGCGTACGAGATGTTCAATCTTATGCAGGAATCGTCGGCCGATGCATGTGCCATGTGTGGCAAGCGCTTGGAAGAGCCCGGATCGGACACTGGTGTGACGGATCGGAAAGCTCCAATGGCGATAGTGCTACCATGCTTTGACGTCGTATGTCCCGACTGCTTCTCCGGGTGGAAACAAGCTTTTGATGGTCAAGTCGAACCTACGAATACAACAAAATGTCAGGTTTGTGACGGTTGGATTCCTGTTTCGTATTCGACCATCACTGTCGAAGGACTTGAGGAGTACTTGACGGAGCACGAACAAGCAAAGCAGAGCCGAAGGCAACCCAAAACCCTTGGCGAGTATGAAGGACCTCACACGAAGACCAAGGCGCTTTTGGCTCATCTCGCCGAATCTGCAGAGGAGAGCAAGAGACTAAACGCTGAGCCCCCAATCAAGAGCGTGGTATTCTCGGCCTGGACCTCTCATCTTGACTTGATCGAGATTGCATTGAAAGATCGTGGCATGACAGGATTCACACGCTTAGACGGGACTATGTCGCTCGCAGCTCGTAACAGAGCTCTAGAGGACTTCCATACCAACGGCAACACGACTATCTTGCTAGCCACGATCGGTGCTGGTGGTGTCGGATTGAACTTGACTTCTGCTTCGAAAGTGTATATCATGGAACCTCAGTATAATCCTGCAGCTGTGGCCCAGGCAATCGATCGGGTGCACCGACTGGGTCAAACGCGCGAGGTGACCACAGTTCAGTTTATCATGAAGGGGAGTATAGAGGAGAAGATCTTCGAGCTTGCCAAGAAGAAGCAGCAGTTGGCAGACATGAGCATGAACCGTGGCAAGCTTGACAAGAAAGACGTTCAGGAGCAGCGGATGAGAGAATATAGAAGTCTCTTCAAATGATCCGCCTTTGTGATTTGCAGTGGCTTTCTCTTTTACTTCCCCAATTTATCTTCACTCGGACAGCATGGAGGGATGGATTTTGATACCCGAACGTTGAATTTTGGCGTTTGACGGTTTCCCTGGGCTTCGTTTCATATTTCTTTTTCTGCGGTCTTTCATTTTTGCATCTACGCCGTGGAAAGGCAGCTACACACCATTCTGCAGACGCATAGACGCGTCCCTTGAGGGAAGGTATACAGGACGCTACACAAGACGGCTGGACGCGAGTCCACATTTTCATGGTAATGGTCATTTTTCTTTTAGTGCTATACACTGGGCGGACGGGCGCGGGATCATAAAGACATGCACTTTTGGTACGCTAGCATTTAATCATACATCTTATCATAACCGATTGGTATACCTTGTTGTGGCGTAGAGCGCTCCAGATCCAGTTGTCCGTCCAGCGTGGACAGGCCAAAGTCAGCAAGACATCAAGAATATCTCTCAAGTAGCTCCCGATCCCCATATAACCCCGTCTCAACTGCCCTCAGCACATTCTCCAGCGTCCTCCTCAACCTCTTCAACTCCCTCATCTTCAGTTCCCGCTCCTCCTCGACCCGCCTCAACTCCCCCTCCAACTCCCGAATCCGCTTCTCCTGCTCCGCCTCGGAGCTATCAATCCCCGGCAACACCGATATCAAATACTCAATCTGCTGCTCCTTGATGATAAGATCCCGCGCCAGCTCCCGCTGACGACTCGCAAACGTCCGCGGACTATCCGGCGCCGGCAGGTTTGGGTCCGCGCCTGCGCCCGCTGCTGGGCCGGGCGTTTGCCCGCCCTCGCCTACGCTTGTGCCTGCGCCTGCGGCGCCATGCGCGGGATTCTGGGCTGGAGGGGAGGCCTGGGACTGCGCGGGAACCGGTGCGCCGGCGGGAACTGGAGGCGCGGTGGAGTTCTTGGGGATTTTGGCGAGGGCTGGGGCGGCGTCTGGGACGTCTGGGTGTGGGATTGCGGGGGAGTTGTCGTGGTAGGTGCTTAGGTAGCCTATTGTGGCGTAGAATTGGGTTGCGAGCTGTTGAGGTGAGGGTTAGGTTGGTGGTTTTGGAGGGTGGGGTTTGGGGTGGATGGGTGAGGTACCTGGTCTAGGCAGGTTTGGAGTTGGGTTAGGATGTCGGCCATTTTTGCGGTTGATACGTGGTTGAGTGAGGTGTAGGTAGGGAAGTAAAGTCCTCTCGGCGAGGTCTGTTGATGTAGGGCGAGATTAAAGATTGTTGGAGAATCAGCGTGATGCGGAGAAGCCAAAGCGGTGATGCGGTCAGAAGTAGAACAAGAGATAGTTTCCTCTAGCTTCACAACCAACCGTCGGATGGCTTGATATGAATCAGATCCATCTTCTCACCAAACTCTTCCGGCGTAATTTCTCAGCCCGTCCAATCCATCGCCAGCTCGACCCCTTCACTCGCCGCCTTTTCAAGCTCCCTTCTCCTCCGCCGTCGCCATCGCAACACCACAATGACCTCGCATCCTTCCTCGCCCACGCAGAGCGGACCTCTCTCCCAACGACAAGCACTACCTACATAGGCACACACTACGAATACACAGTCCAGCAAACCCTCCGGCGCTTCGCCTTCTCGCTTCACCGAGTCGGAGGTCGCGACGATGCAGGTATCGACCTCGTAGGCACCTGGCACCTCCCGGAACACGAGCACCCGCTGCGCGTCTTCGTGCAATGCAAGGCCCTCAAGACAAAGCTGGGGCCGAATCTCGTCCGGGAGCTCGAAGGGACGTTCCGCCAGTCGCCTGTGGGGTGGCGCACGGGGACGAAGATCGGAGTTCTGGTTGGCCCTCGTGAGGCGACGAAGGGGGTTCGGGATGCGATGGCGCGAAGTGTGTATCCGCTTCTGTGGATGATGGTTGAGCGAAACGGGGAGCTGCAGCAGGCGCTGTGGAATAGTTGCGCTGAGGAGCTGGGTTTGGGGGCGTTGGGGGTGGAGATGGTGTATGGGGGTGCGTCGGGCAGGAGGATCAGTTTGACCTGGGATTGGTCTGAATTGCCTTCTATGGATCAGGTCGAGGATCTGATGATGCAGCGGCAGGATGAGTGGCTACGGCTATGGGATGCGGACTCTGAGATGTCCGCGGCGCGTAGAGGAGAATTATTGGATATTGTACAGCAGCTGTATCCTGACGAGAAGCCGCTCTTGTTAGGAGCTGGTACGTGCACTACTTTGACCGAGGCGGATAGGTCCAAGGTCCTGCAGCAGCTGCGCAACAGGCTGCAAACGCCTGCTGAGGACACTGAAAGTTCAGCATGATCTCATCTGCTCGACTGTGTCGAGGTACAATCTGGTCACTGGCCACGGTTGAAGAACAGTATATCCGATTGACAATACAAACAAATCCCTGGGTATATCAAGCAACAAAAGGCAAAATGCAGAAGTAAAAATCACAAGCGCCGCGTCGTCATATCCCGTGACTCGAAAACTGTACGCCTCAGGTCCACCTGGGAGGAAACCAAACGCCATAACCAAATTGCACAACTCAACCCTGCATGGTTGACCAAAAGTAATTAGCATAGAAGAAACGCGAGAACTTGGGGTCCATATTGACCACATGGACGTCTCCCTTGCGACTGTTGCGAATAACGGCCTTGCCGAAGTTACCGGCCTCGTCCGCCTCGATATCAATGCCCAAGGACCGGTAGATCTTGAGGCGAAGTCTGTCGCATAATCAGTCAGAACTCTCCAGTAAAAATAGAGAAGCACCACCCACATAGTCGCATCATCGGCCTCCCTCTCTCTCCGCGTAGCTTCATCGCCCTCAAGCCCCTGCGCTTCCAACTCGGCCAGTCTCTCCTTGAGCATCTCTAGCTCGCCTTCCAGCCTCTCGCTCTCAATCTCCAGCTCTGTTGCGGCCTTGGCAATCCGGAATTTCTTCGTGTCAAGCTCAACCATCTGCGCAGCGTGCTTTGCCGAGTCGTGTGCCGACACGGCTTCCTCATGTTGCGCGGTCAGGGCATGCAGGTTACGGGAGAGTTTACGGAGTGCCGACTCGGCATCGCGCATACGGAGCTCGCGAGATTGTTGCAATGTAGATAGGGAGTCATTGATGCGGGTGACGGCTTGTTTGTCCGGTTGGATATTGAAGTTGCCGATGGTGTGGTGGATGAGCTGCGATTGTTAGTCTTAGTCCGGAAAAACATATTCCAAAACATACTGTCGCGGGGTCCTCGTCGAGCAACATTTTGTATAATGGAGAGAAATGTCACAGCCGGTCGTTGTTCTTTGGATTGCGTTGATGGATTAAGATCATGGAGGATATGGACTGTTGATGGTTCCCGTTGGGGGAGCAACAGCCACAGCGCCACACGTGTGCTGACACAGCCACATGTTGGTGGGTGACGAAACATTGTGATGGGCTTGCTTGATGGAGATGACTAGACTGGATGCTTCTTTACTCAGTGAAAAAGTAATCTCTCAGTTGAAGTTCCTGATCTGCTGTTATAGCCATATACCCAGATCCTTTACTATAATCCGGTCTACCACTCTCACGAATATCTCTACGCCATGATGGGGTCCAACCTACCATGTATGTCGTATCCAGGCTACAATCATTTTCTGCTTGGGAGTGTATCGAAACTGACCACCTTGCTTCCTTAGATGCTGCGGACGCTGAAAGGTTAGCATTATCCGGCTGTCGATCGCTATGCCCTCGCTAAATTACCTGATTCCAGTCCGTTGAAACCAGCAGAGCTCCAAGTCTTGCGGGCCCAGTACGAGAAGGAGGGTGACTATGTTGGAATCCAGACGAAATTCAACTACGCATGGGTATGCCGACTGCTATTTCTGTTTCCAGTCAACCGGCTGACAAGATAGGGCTTGATCAAATCCCACGCTCGGGCGGATCAACAAGAGGGCGTCCGTCTTCTATCAGAGATCTTCCGCGCATCCCCAGAGCGACGACGTGAATGTCTCTACTACTTGGCTTTGGGGAACTACAAGCTCGGAAACTACGGCGAAGCCCGGCGATACAATGATCTGCTCCTGGAGAAGGAACCAGGGAACCTGCAAGCCGCCAGCCTCGGCTCGCTGATCGATGACAAGGTCTCCAAAGAGGGTCTGATGGGCATCGCGATCGTGGGTGGCCTGGCTCTTGTGGCCGGCGTAGTGGGCGGTCTTGTCTTCAAGGGTGCCGCAAAGAGACGATGAACGGGGTTGGCTCTTGGTTTTGAAAGTCGTGTATATATCATGGTTCTCCTACTCTTTTGTCCGGGCTTTATTTAGCATATGAGGCGTTTGTCTGTTGTTTGAGCGCAGGAGCGCTGGGATATTTTTAATCCTTCGAGAGATGCTGGATGAATTATGTGTACAGTGCTGTCTGTCGTCTGTGTTGGTACCTGAATCCAATCCAATAATGAAGTGCCTAGAATGTAGCTGGCTGTGGGAATGTGAAGCTGTCAGTCCGCCACTCGGTGAATCAGCAGTCAACGTCATCCGCCGCCGGACATCGGGCCTGTTTGTTCGTCTGACGTGCTCCACTTACTCTTCTTCCTCGGCCTCATCTATTGCATTCCTTTGCAATTCATTTGCTCTTCTTTTATTATCCTTTACTATCAGGTCATTCTCATGGAGATAATGTATAGCTTCACCTGGTGAAGGGAAACAACACACTGCTGTCAATATGTTTCTGGATGATTCAGGGATCCTAAGGAATAAGACACGCGAGTTTCCAACTGTCTGACCTTCCGCTACTCTTGTATCGTTTCTACCTCTCGGTTTTACATACTTACTTCATCGATTTTTCTCAACATCTGTTAGACTTTTCTTCCTTCTCATAACGTCATGGACAACGTTGCTATGGCTGATGCGGGGGACCGCATGTTCTGCCATGCGTGTGGTGGAGTTTGGCTGAAAAATGCTGCTAATGGGTTGGACTGTCCTCACTGTCAGTCTGATTTTACAGAGATTGTACGAACCTCAGGTTACCTGCTCTTTATCTCAGACCTCTGCTAATCGTCGATATCAGATTGAAATCCCGCCTGATACAGAAGACCCCTCCTCTCGACCGACGAATGACTCCCCACCCCGCGAAGCGAGTAATCAACCCAACGTCAACCCTTGGGCCGATCATAACCCCTGGGCAAATGAAGAGGATTATGGAGGAGACGACAACGCATGGCGGCCAGGGTTCTCACGTCGTACATATAGGTCCCCCGATGGCCGGTTTACTTTCACAACCACCACCACCACTTTAGGTGGCGGCGGCTTTGGCATTGGCCGATCTATGGACCAAAGACAAGTGCCCATAGACCCGTTGATGCCGGTGGTGCGCAGCTTGGATACTATTTTCCACGGGTTGGCCGACACCTACCGGCATGGCCAGAATCAGAATCAGAATCAAAACCAAAATCGGAACACCACAGGTCAGGAAAATGAGACGGACGCCGACGAGCAGCGTGCGCGGAGTGAGTCACCCGAATTCCGTGCAACCGGCAGGCTATTTGCGCGAGATGCGGATGGTCCGCAGCCGATGGCACCACCTTTGGGCACCCTAGGCGAGTACGTAGCCATTTTCTTTTAGCCGTCTATTGTCCATGGCTGACTTGCTTGATAGTATCCTCGAACTGTTTCGCGCCGACTTTGGGGGCGGTATGGAAGGTGGAGGAGTGCGTGTGATGACTGGTCCGAATCCACTGGCCATGCTTTCGACTCTGCTCAACTTCGATCGACACGGAGATGCGGTGTACTCGCAGGAGGAACTGGACCGGGTTATTTCGCAGTTGATCGACCAGAATATCAATCGAAGTGGGGCTCCCCCGGCTCCGCAAAGCGCTATTCAGGCCCTGCCGAAGAAGAATGTTGATGAGGAGATGCTAGGCAGCGATGGCAAAGCAGAGTGCTCGATTTGCATGGAGCAAGTCGAATTAGGCACGGAGGTCACTGTCTTGCATTGCAAACACTGGTTTCATCATCCCTGCATTGAAGCCTGGTTAAGCCAACATAACACATGTCCGCATTGTCGCAGGGGGATTGATATCCCACAGTAAGTATTTTTCCAAGGGTTATCAATAGTGATACTGACCGATTCACAGAGCTGAAGGAACCAGGCAGGATCCTGTTGTCATTAACGACAGTCCTGAACCTACATCTCCCGAGCGCCGTCGTAGTAGTGGTCTAGCTCAGCATAGCGGACAGGCCCCTCCCACATGGGGTGAACATCCGTCGTGGAACACTTCAGAATCAAACGAGCATAATCGAGGTCAGTCCAGTTACAACGAAGGTAACGAACATAATCAAGGACAATCCGGTCACAATGAAGGTAGCGGTAGCGGCAGCGGAGGGTTTAGCGGGTGGGTTAGGAGTCATTTTGGGGGCAGCTAATCGCTCATTCATGAAGCATCCGACTTTGGGTTAGGTCTTTATAGGCTACGGCTCCTAGGTACATTGCGTCTGACTGATGATTACTCTTTTTATCATTATCCTGGGCTTGATTAGCATGAGCATGGGATGAGCCCGTGCATTGATGTAAATAACGAATCCAGCATTGCTGAATATATCCTCAACACCATCCAATACCAGCAGAATGTCTAGGTGTCAGCAGCGACTCCAGCATCAGTCTCATTCAATCCAACCTATCATTCGACTGAACACAGTTGTGAACTGGACAATTCGACCCTTGGATTAGGTTTATTCGAAAAGTATTCTCCACAACACGAAGCTCCACTGTCCCCGCCCCCGCCACGCCTTGTGAAAGACAACTTGGACATAGCTCCTAGTAGACGATATATACGAGAGCCTTTCTTTCACAATTTCTTTTTCATCTACTGCCATTATCCCGTCATTCGCTACAATATGAAAACCGTTTTCATCAATGGCCTCATCGTCCGAGGCAACGGGAGCTCACAATCGGAGCCCGTCCTGGGCTGCATGGTCGTCGAGGACGACAAGATAGCATACATTGGCGCCGAGAACGATGAGCCCGTCGCACAAGCAAAACAAGCACCAGGCGTCGAGCTCGTAGACCTGCACCGGCGAACCGTCATCCCAGGGTTCATTGATGGGTATGTCTCCCCCGTTCATCTTCTATAAGAATACTACACTACGCTACAATATGGTTGGCTACGCTCGCAACTAACAAAAGACAAGACACATGCATCTCCTCCTCTTCGGCGCAGGGCTCTCCAAAATCGACCTCGGACACTGCAAATCCCTCTCCGACATCCGCTCAACCATCAAGACCGCCGCCGCACAGCTCCCGCACGCCCCCCGCCTCTTCTGCCGCGGGTGGATGCACTCCATGACAGACGGGCAGGCGCTAGCCAGCATGCTCGACGACCTCGACCCGCGGCCCATCTTCATCGACTCGAAAGACCTGCACAGCGCATGGTGCAACACCGCCGCGCTGCGCGAGCTCGGCGTCGCGGACACGCCTGACCCGGCAGGCGGGGTCATCCACCGCGGGGAAGATGGCACGCCGAGCGGGTTACTCTCCGAGGCGGCGGCGGTGAATATCGTGTGGCCGCATGTGGCGCGGGTCGCGACGGCGGAGGAGAAGATGGGGTTTGTGCGGAGTGCGGTGCGCGCGTACAATGCGGCGGGGTATACCGGGGTGGTGGAGATGGCGACGGACGAGAACGTGTGGGGGACGATGCTGGCGCTGCGACAGACAGAAGAGGTGTCGCTGCGGCTGGCGGCACATTGGATCATTACGCCGGCGGCGACGGTGGAGGAGTGTCTGGCGCAGGTGGACCGCGCGATCGAGCTGCATGCGGTGTATAATGCGCGCTCGTCGCCGGATTTCCGCATCGCGGGGATCAAGGTCATCTGCGATGGGGTGGTGGATGCATGCACGGCGGCGCTGCTGCAGCCGTATGCTGCTGCAGCGACTGCTGATGGTGACGGGCAGACGAACTGCGAGCCGCTGTGGCCGGCCGACATGCTGCGGGCCGTAGTGGCCAAGGCGGACGCAGCGGGCCTGCAGTGCGCGCTGCATGCGATCGGCGATGCGACGGTGCGGCTGGCGATCGACACGCTGGCGGCGGTGGGCACGCCCGGCCGGCGGCATCGCATCGAGCATCTGGAACTGACGGCGCCCGAGGACGCGGCGCGGCTGGGCCAGCTGGGGATCACGGCCTCGGTGCAGCCGGTGCATGCGGACCCGGCGATCCTGCGTGCGTGGCCGCGGCTGCTGGGCGAGGAGCGGTGCGCGCGCGCGTTTGCGTATGCCGAGTTTGCGGCCCACCGTGCACCGCTGGCGATTGGGACGGACTCGCCGACGGCGCCGCATCTGCCGCTGAGGAATCTGTATACGGCGACGACGCGGCGGTCGGCGCGGGAGCCGGAGTCAACCGTAACAGTCAACCCGCAGTTCAAGCTGTCGCTGCTGCAGGCGGTTTCGGCGGCGACGGCCGGGTCGGCGTACTCGTGCTTTGCGGATGGGTTCACGGGGAGTCTGGAGGTCGGGAAGAAGGCGGATTTTGCGGTCGTGGAGATGGAGTGGGAGGCTGAGAAGCTGCTCGAGGCCTCAGTGTGCGAGACATACTTTGATGGAAGGAGGGTGTACAGCCGTTCCTAGGCAGTTTGTGACGCGGAATTCAAGTAGATATATTGAGGAAAGTATATACACGTAGGAAATATCACTATCACAACTTTGGCTCGACAAACTTCTTCACCAGCTTGTTGCATAGCTCGCTCAGCACACCCGCAAGCCACTCGAAATCGCTCTTCTCCAGGTAAACCTGCGCACTCAGCCGGGTCCACAACCACCCGCCATGCGCAAACACAGGCACAAAGGTCCCATAGTCCCGCACCAAAGCCTTCTGCATCTCCCCAGCAACCTCCGCGGCCTGCGCAGCCTGCAGCGTCAATCTAGCCGAGGCCGTCTTCGGATCCTGCTTACCACCAGACACGGCAAACGGCAGCCGCACCGTCGCCATGGCACAGCGGCGCAGCTGACTGACCTCTCCGGGCTTCAAGCCGGGCTCCTGCATCACCTCCGTGCCCAGCGCCGCGGCAACAATGTCCCCGGCCTCCAGCGCCAGCTTCTCCAGGTAAGCGTAGATGCGGTCCTCGCCGCCGCAGACCTGGGAGCGGAATTTCAGCGCCGCAGGAACACACAGGTACGCCGTGTCGTCGGTGGTCGCGACGAACTCGAAGAGCTCCTCGAAGGCGGACTTGCCCGAGCTGCTGCGCATGAGCGAGGGCGCGGT